AAGGCTGAGCTTTGTCTTTTAGTGTCAAACACCAAATTTCGTTTCAGTCTCCACAGGGAGGCAGAACAAAGCCTTCCCTTGGGGTGGGTTTTTTCTGCTCTGGATAAATGAGTCGCTTACTGCAGCTTCAGCCTTTCCTGCCAGACACTGACGCTGCAAATTTCACTGTCTCATTCTGTGCCTCACCAAGCATTTCCAATGCAAAAAGTCTATTTTAGGAACTGAATCAAAAGCACATACAGTCCAATCAATCATGAATCTATATTTAGGTGGTGGTGGATAAAAGACGTTTCCTTCTTGTTCCAAGCAGACCCCTATGGAAACGGGCAGGGGGAGGCTGGTAATACTGTTTGCATTTTTCCTTCACACATAAATTTTTCTACTGTCTTACAGGTATAAAACTTCTCTAAAGGTAAGAAAGATCATTTCTAGAGGTGTCTTTCAGCTTTGTTCCTCTCACTGCCAACTTCTTCACTGCTTTTTATCTCCTCCATGCCAGCTGGGTCAGATTCTCCACTAATTTAAACATGTACCCTTAAGGCTTGGCTTTACCTCCTCCTTCACCGCCTCCCCAGGATCCTTTCTCAGCTGGCGCCATCCCTTCAGCCAGCCTGTCTCCCTGCCCAGGCCTTCCCAATGCCTCCGGTGAGCGTCCCCAGGCTTTGCCAGGAGCTGCCCGCACACACCGTGCTACCCCCGCGCGGGGGAGGCGCGGGAAGAACCAGCCGCCCTGCTCGGGTGCGAGGGCAGGGGTAGCAGCGCCCACCCGACAGACCCGCTGCTCTCACGGCGTCCTGCTCCCCGCATCCCTGGCACAGCCAAAGCCTGAGCCGCAACAGAGGAAACGCCGCGGCGGTGGCAGCACGGACAAGGAAGGTGTCCCAGCGCTTCAGTCTGCTGGGAGCCAGCACCCTCCTGCTGGGTGACAAGGACCGCCCCGATGGGTGACCTTTCCCCAGCACTTCAGACCAACACCACTTCGCCAGCGATGCCCCAGGGCCTGCAGGGAAGGGAAACCATCACAGCCAGTATCAGCGACAGCAGCGCAACCCGCTGAGGGACGCCTGCTTTTATAGCCCAGCCTTGTGCACGTCCCCCTCCGACACAAACACAGTAACCCTCCCCTCCAAACGCTCTCTTCAGCAAGTCTTTTTCTGACATTTAATATGGATGAAGGAGTAAAGCAGCCTACGAGACTCAGCAAAAGGCTCCCCTACAGTGACCAAAGGCCAACTGGGCTCATCCCACTGGCACTCACAGCATTGGAAATTTCCTACCTGGGGAATACGCTTGTGGACGTGACCCTAATTCTGTACAGAAAGTCAGACCAAAGGTGGTGCTGAGGCAAACCCCCAAACCCCTACACTTCCTCAGGGATACTAAGCTGCTCTTAATTAATTCCAAATGAGGGAGAAACAAAACCTCAGTGGAGATGTCTGCTGCCAGCAGACAGGAGCCCAGTCCTGTGGGCCAGAGCCGGGACCTGCCAGCAGCAATAAGGAGAGCACCGCAGAAGTCACCTCCCAAATAGCTGGGAGCTCATGGAACACACACGTCCCGAGGACGTGCAAATGCACAAACCCATTGTGCTGCTGCACAGGGGGGCTGCAGGAGATGCTTTTTACTCCCGGTGGTACGTTGTGTGCTCGGTATGCAGGAAGGCACACACCATTTTAAGGCTGGATTCAGAAGCAGAACGCTCCTGCTGCCAGACCAAAGCCAGTTTGCTGACCCTGTCCCCTGGGGTGAGCAGCAGCCCCAGCCCAGCACCCCCAGCCAGGCTCAGCTCCCCACTGTCTCCATTCTCAGCATCCTCCTGTTGATAAAGGACACCCACCCAGCTACTTCTGATTCTCTCCTCAGCCACCACAGCCAAGCGTTACTGACTGTGCACATGGACTGTAACAGCAGGAGCAAACGTCTCCCTGGGTTTGGTCCTGGTCGTTTGCAACAGGCACCGGGTGTCCTAAAGCCAACTGGTTATTCCTTTCCAACAAGTGGGATACTGGAGTGACAGAGTACATCGCATTGGAATCCAAAGACAAGTTTAATATTTATATTCAACATAAAGATGAAGATGAAAAAGAAAAACATAGCAACAATTCCATATACACTCCATCTAAACAGGCTGCATACACATTCAGAAAAACCCCAGAACTATTGAAGACTCTGTAGCTTTTATGGGAAAGAAAAGAGCAGGATGCACATCATCTTCGTGGTGTGTTGTGATCAGTTTAAAACCAAAGACCAATGTGTGCATTCATCATTCAATTTTTTTAGAGTTTCTCTTTAATACACAAAACATTTGTATAGAGGATATATAAATTTTTTATATATATATGTAAGTTCAGCTGACCTGTGTTTCTTTCAAGTCTATAAAGCTGCTAAGCTAATCTTATTTTTAAAGATTTGTATGTAAAAACCACTAAACCTTTTTAAGGATAATTAGAATGCATAATACATAACATGAAATAAGTAGAGCCTAAAACATATAGCAGTGCCATTGGAAGGCAAGGACCTTCACAGTCTTCCTTTACCTGATGAATATCCAGTGCTGTTCTGTAACACTATTTCCTTCTAGTACAGGGATTAAAGAAAGCGATTACCAAGACAGCTGCTTAAAAAGAAAAAAAAAGAAAACAGAAAAGACAGCCCAACAAAAACCCCCAAACATTTGCCCACTTACAGCTATCCCCCTGTGTTTTCAAGTGCTTCCCCTGAGCTGCGCTGGAGAGAGACCACAGCACAAGCCCAGCCGCCCGGGCGATGGGCAGGGTTTCACGGAGTTGGGTCTCTGCACCTCTGCTCGCCCCATGGCAGCAGCGGGGCCTCGCTGGTGCATCCCACGAGACACGGGAACGCACCGAAGGGGATGGGGAGCAAGCTGCCACCGAGCGCCTCCCGCATGCAAACAGTGACCTTGCCCATTCGCACAAGCCTGTGTCACAAAGACCTTGTGACTGGAAGAAACAAGGAGCAACCAACGCAAGGCATCGGGTCCCACGTGCCGTGCCAGCCGTGGGGCGAGCCCAGGCAGTGTGAGGGCAGGGTCGGGCACAGAGACTCTTCTGGTCTTGGCCAGGAGAGAAATCCCCAGGAGAGGGCAGCCCCAGCAGTTCGTGGGGTTTTGAGCTCAGACGACAGCACTGAAAGAACACTGAGGTTAGGATCAGACTGGTATTCCTGCCAGAGGTGAGGAGAGACGCCACAATCCAGACACTGCAGGGCAACGCAACGAAGGCGGCGATCGCGCCCAAAACTCACCCAGCCCCTGCTCTACGCTCCTCAGCCGCGCCCGGCGGACACGAGCGAGGCCCACTAGAGCAACACTGTCGGCTCACAGGTTCTCGTTTAACCACGCGATGTACCTGTCCAACAGCCGGCGCCCTACAGCTAACTTGAGGGGACACGAGGCAAACGACAACACGGCATGGAAGGCGTCCTTGGCGTGGTCATGCGTGACGGGAACGCCCGCCGCCCGCAGGCGCACGGCGTACATGACTCCGTCGTCCCGCAGGAGGTCGTGCTGGCAGGTGAGGACGTAGGTGAGGGGCAGCCCGCGCAGCTGGGCATCGCTCGCCAGCAGCGGGGCCGCCCGCCGGTCCAGGAACCCCGGGCAATTCTGTGCGCGCTCCGCGCTCT